CAGCAGGAACCCCCGCTGGCAGAGAAGGGATTCTAGGGAAGGAGCCTCCCTTCGACTCAACTACGACCTTGCTCAATTCGCTTTGGCTGTTTTGGTTTGGCTGGCGCGCGTGAGGCGGAGGGCCCGCACGGTTCTGGAAGTCTCTTTGGGGCGCTCTCGGGGGCCTCTGTAGGCAAGTTCTGAGGGTGTCTCAGTCGCATTTTGGGAGCCTCCCAGGGCTTCCTGGCGATTTCTTGGGGGCGCCTGGGTGCATCTGAGGGGTTTGGGGGGGCCTCTTGGGCCTCGGGACCCCCCAGGGCGGGGGTGGCATTTTGACCTGGGACCACTCCGAGGGAACACCCCGCCACCCCTCCCCCCCTCCCCCCCTTCTGGGACCCCCCCCGCCCCGGCGGGGAAGGGGTCAAAGGGAAGGGGCTGTCCTTCGACTCAACTACGACGTTGCTCAAGTTCGCTTGGGCTGTTTTGCTGTAGATGGCGCGCTTAGGAAGAGGACCCAGGGAGAAAAGGGGGAGCGGCGACGGCGGCGGCGGCGGCGGCGACGACGACCACGACGACGACGTCGACGACGACGACGACGACGAGTCAAACGAAGCAGCCTTCTCGCACGCGCCGACAAGGTCGGCAGATTTGCACTAAGGTCGCCTTGAAGCCGCGACGAATAACACGCGCTAGTTGGGGCGGTAGTTGAATAACACGCGCTGCGCGCGCGACGAAAAACAAACGAGATGCGAAGGTACTGAGTTGTATTAGGGCTTAGGGCGGAAGGGCGCTGTTAGAGAAGTTGTGTCGGCGGATAGGTTCGAGTCCGCTCTTCGCTGTTTCCCAGTGGTATGACACATGGGCGTAAACCCGACCCGATATCTTGCTCGAGCTGTCTGCGTTGACCCCTCCCACTCCTATTCCCCCATTCCCGCACTCCTACTCCATGATCCGATTGCGAAGGCCTTACGGCCAGGCCAACCCTGAAGGCGGGACATCCTCCAGAAATCCCGTTGGCGACCCCCCCCCCCGAACCCGCCGGGACCCCAGGGGGACGGTATATTCTGACCCAGGGCCCCCACCCCCTTCCACCCCCTCGCAGGGAAGGGGAAATGGGCAGGGGCTTCCTTTCGACTTGACTGCGACGTTCATTTTTCTTTGTTTCTCAATTTTCTTGGGACTGGCGAGGTCGACGACGACGACGATGACGGCGACGACGGCGACGACGGCGACGCCGACGACGACTTAAACGGAAAAGCGTCTCACACACGCCGAGGGGTCGGCAGATTTTCACGCCTGCGCCTATTACGTAGTCCAGGAAATGGGTCCCAAAAGCGTCTTGCCTTCCGGGAAACAGAATCCGTCGCCCTCAGCGGAGGCTGGACGACGCAGCCTGCGGGAGTAAAGCGAGGGCAGCTCCGCTGGCAGAAGCTCGGCTGAAGCTAAGGTACAGTAGACCCCCGAGAAAGGTCAACGCGGGCGTACCCATGGTTTCCAGCTCATGGGGGCGCGGGCTGGTTTGCACCCCCCGCTGCGGCTGCCAGGATGAGTAAACTTTCCACCGCCACTACCATAATCAGGACGGGGGAGAAGGCCTCCTCCTCCTCCTCCTCCTCTTCCTCCTCCTCCTCCTCTTCCTCCTCATCCTCCTCTTCCTCCTCCTCTTCCTCCTCCTCCTCCTCTTCCTCCTCCTTCTCCTCCTCCCTCTCCTACCTATGGCAGCGGTGGTGGAAAATCGGTGGAAAATCGGCCCATCATGCCTCGCAGGTGGCCGGGAGCGCGGCGACCGAGACCGAGACCGGGAGCGCCGACTTGCGGCCAGGAGCAGGTCGCGCTCGCGCTCGCGGAGGCCGCCGGCTGTCGGCCAGCTCCCCCTCGCTCTCGTCGTCTGGAGGCAGAGCTCGGCAATTGGGAGAGCACCCACCCAGACGAGTCGGCCGAGCAAATCTGCACCCGCTCACTCGACATTGGCTTCGAGGGTACCGGTGCAGTCCCCAGCCGGTTCTGCCAGTCGGCCTGCGCTTCGCCAGGCTCATTTCCTTATTTGCAGACGTCAAATTTAGCCAACCCGCTGCGGTCCACTCGGAATGCGGAGTGGTGGGCACGTGGAGTGCCCCATGGCAGCGTTCATTGAAGGTTCGGCATGGGCATAAAAAGCAGCTCGGAAGCGAGCGGCAGTTTGCATCTAACGGCTCTGCTTTGCCTTTTGCAAGGCTTGTTGCATCGTTGCTTCGATTGCGTTTGAGCTGCATGGTTGTGCAGTGCTGGCAATTCCGTTCCAGCGAGTGGTATTCGTATTCGTTCGCATTGTTGCAATATCGATGTTTCACTGCGGTTGAATGTAGCGTGATTTTGCGTCGCGTTGTATTGCATTCGCGTGCATCGCATCCGCGTTGGCATTAATTGCGTAATTATTGGAGCTTGTTGTTTTTCAGCGCACTGTATTTGATGGAATTGATGCTGAGTGCAACGCATTGCTTTTGCACTGCCCTCTATTAGGCTGAGTGTTCGTCACAGGTAGCCCGTACGTGGATTATGCGTGTAATCATTGTTATTGGAGAACGCCCAGGCCCCTCCATCCGCCGCAACGACTTTGTCTTCCTCATTTGTTTGTCCATCCTTCCTGCGCACATTCTCACGCACACCCGCCCGCATTCTAACTCGCACACCCCCTCTCAGTTAAGTCCACCCGCGGCGGGTGCAGGTTGTTGAAGGGTCGGGAATGGCATGGTTGGAGGAGCGTTGGTCATCGTGGTGGGGTTCGGGGGCGGTCGGGCCGCAGACGGGTCGCAGGCGTGTCGTGGGTGGGTGGATTCCACTCTAGCACGCAACATGCGCGAGCGGATCGCGGGACGACGACGAAAAAAAACAATAATCATGCAACAGTTCGTTTGACGGCCCCGTCTTCCCCAGCCACGCACCTCGGGACGGTTTGAGACAAGTCTTCCAAGATCTTTCTCAAATAAGATGTTTGCCAGGTTGCGGGTCGATGCTCAATACGGCAATTGGGCTTTGTTGTTCCGCATTGTGCCTGATTGTCTTCATGAGCGGCATGGGCCACACCCCCGCAGGGCGCAACATTGGCTGGTCCGGACTCCACGTTGGGCCTGTGTTATTGACTAACCACCAGCTCGTATGATCCTTTTTACAAGCGGCACGTATCACCCGAGCTCGCTCCGATGAGCGCGCTCCATGTACCGATGCATGCACACGGTAGCAGCATGGCCGGGTACTCGGCACTGGAGACGGGCCCGCGAGAGCGCGCAGGGACAAGCGCGCGCGCCGCCAGGACGCACCTGCGCGCGCAGTGCGCCGCGTTCGTGCGCGCTCTTCCGCCCAGCCGTCTCCGCTCGCCCGTGCCGCCACCCCTCGCCTCGCCTCGCCCCCGGGCGGTCCGCGTCCCCCCTTTAATGGGCCCGTTTGCCACCACCACTACCATAGGTAGGAGAGGGAGGAGGAGGAAGAGGAGGAGGAGGAGGAGGACCTCCTCATCCTCCCTTCTCCCCCGTCCTACATGTGGTAGCGGTGGTGGAAACTTCCCTTTGCTGCGGATGCGCCCGCGCTCGCCCGAGACCCCTGGCGCGCCGCAGGCGCTCCCCGCGCTCCAGATCCAGGGGCCGCCGCCGACGACGATCCCCCTCTCTGTAGCGGCCGCCCGCGCGCGCGGCAAGCGGCGCCGACGCGCGCGTCGCTGGCTGCTCCCGCGCGCCCTCGTCTCATCCGGCAGTCGCGGGGGTCAAGGGTTGGGTCAGGGACAACGCTAGGAGGGGAAGGCTCAGGGGGGGATGCAACGACCCCGATCGCTCACTGATCGCCGATCTGGGCCCGACAGCCCACCCCGCGCAGGAGCGTTCGGTCTCACTATGAGGGGCCTATCGCCGATTTATCGGCGATGTATCGCCGATTCCAGCACGATGTTTCCCCCCTGAACTGGTGCCCCCTATCATCGTTGTCCCTCAGTCCCGGGGGGGGGGGGGGGGGGCGGGCGTGGACTCGCTATAGGCATAGGTGATGTACGTACTAGTAAGCTTGTGCGATACGCGCCCACCCTCCCCACAAGGAGAAAGTGCGACTTACTGTTCGTAGGCGCCCTGGGGTGGGGGAGGGGCGGGCGCGAGCACCCGCAAAAGGTCCGAGATACCCCCCCAACATGAGAAGATTTTGCTGTTCCGAAGCCACCCCACGTTTGCTGCAAGATTGCATGGTAATTTTTGCGATTGCATCCTGATAGCAGGGCAGGTCACCTGTCGCTGTCCGGCAAGAGGTCTGCGACTCCCCCAAAAGTGTATGGACTCAGGATGCATAAGTTCGGATCCCGCCAATACATTCTGCCAGGGGGCTGCCTTCTATCATCTTGGGACCAGGGGCAATAGAAGCTGACGACATTCAACAAAGCTCTATCTCAGTCTGCGGTGGCCAATGTTACCGGTTGTCTCGTCCTCGTTGTGCGCATCGCACGTCGCCCTGGACGTAATCGGACCCAACGGCCAGGCTTCTTTGCAGTCTCTCCAGCTTGCATCTATGAAGCTCTGGCTGAAGGCCTCGACTTAGGTGGACCTGCCCTCCGAGCCGATGCTTGACGGTCACTGGTATGATGGCCTCTCTGTCTCTCTTTCTCTCTCTCTCTCTCTCTTTTTCTTTCTCTCTTTATCTCTCTCTCTCTCTCTCCCTTTCTACCTCTGTCCTCCCTCAGTGGCGCGTGCCAGTCTGACCGCGCCCGTGCAAGGTGTTGCGGAATCGCGGCAATAGTCATGGGTGGAAAAGGAGACGATTGTCCAGGATTGTGTGTCATCCATGTTCGTTCCATGTTGTGTCTAGCCCGTATCCGTTTTGGGCGAGGGTGGAAAAGGGATGGCACGAGATTAAGCGTTGACTTCGTCCTATCTATCTACTGTATGGCAAACCAGCTTCCATTCCAGTGGTCATAATGCGTCAATGTATCACGATCGCTCCACGGCCGCGGGCGAATCGCGCAAGTCCTATCCGCCAGTGAAGGCCGCACGTTTTCAGTTTCGAATTGCATGTGTTGTTGCTTCGTCATGTTCTTTCAAAGTCTTTCTTTGATCATCCCACTTATGCCACACCTTGGGAAGTGCAGGGAAGTTGGCTTCACGTCCGATTGGCGGCGGCTGAACGTGGCTTTGACACGAGCAAAGCGCCTCTGTGTGGTGCCGGGGGTGGAGAGGCTCTTGTCAGATCATTGAGCTCGTCGTTGTCCTTGTTTCTCGTCTCCGCTGCGTGATATTATCCTGAGACATTAACCATATCCAGCGTCGACACTCGAGCTCTCGGGTCGGGTCCAGATCCTCGCAGATCGAGGCCCCAGGGAAGCAATCGGACCATCTGGCCATCCTTTCGGAACTCGTCAGTCAGTTGGAGCGTGTTTGCTGCAATGTCTGGGCCAGGACGCGCGTTATAGCACCCTCCCCGCCTCTCCCTCCCCCGCAATAACGTAACGCCCTCTTCCTCCCGACATTGTCGCAGCGCACGCGTGCACCACAGACTCGTGCTCGCACGAAGCTCACAAGTTATTGCCCGTATTCAGCGATATCCTGCAGCACTCTCGGGCTTTTGTGCCACATGCAGGGTCTGGCATGTTGTTGCGTACTCATGTGGCGTTCGCACACTAATGCGAGATTGGCAGTGTCTGGGTTCCTTCGGTCGCGAGCATATGGCGGTGCTCGCAGGCAATTGTGACGCTTGTGTGCTATTACTGTGGTGCTCCTCGACAGCGTTGCTTCGCTCTGACGGCGCCTGGCACACCTGCGCGCTCGCGAACAACAAAAATATCCCCACCAGCCCAGCCGTCAACAAACACTGCCCAGGAGAGTTGTCTTGAACAGGGAAGTGTATATAATGTTGAAACAATGGGGTAGGGCAGCCGTCAAAAACCGAAGCGTGGGATCAGCTTGAGCAGACTCGGAGTCAACCGGAACCTTCGGATTTTTCTAGAAGGGAGCTTCTTGGAAGCTCATGGAGACAATTTGGGGACCCTCTCGGGGCAATTCTGGGTGCCTTTGGGGCTCTCTTGGGGCACGTTTGGGAGCCTTCGGGGCTCTCCTGGGCCGATCCGGGACGCCGTCGATCAAACAAGTGGGAGTGCTCAGTTACAGCACCCCCGTCGGAGCCCGACGCATTTGTTCCATGGGCCCCTCCCGGGGCGCTCTTGGGCCGTCTTGGATCCTGCACGGGTCTCTCCTGGGGCCTTCTTGTGCGATATTGGTGCCATCTTGCCGCCTCAGAGGCCAATGCGAAGCGAAGAGGAGAGACTCGAAGACCACGGGGATATATTCGGATTCAGCTGCGCGATAGTCCTGGTCAGCTCCATTTCAACGAATCGTAACAAAATGAGCGCCACAGCCATAAACTGCAAAAACAGTTTGCCAGACTATCTGCAGCATGCCCGCGGGCAACCTGTACCTCTGTGTCCGTCAATAGTTCTGGGGGTACCTATAGTCCGGCGAGGGTACGTGTAGTCAGGGGGGGGTACCTGTAGTCCAGGGGGGGTACCTGTAGTCCGGGGGGGGGACCAGTAGTCCGGGCTGGGGTACTTGTACTTCGGGAGAAGTGTACCTGTAGTCTGGGGGGGTACCTGCAGTCTGGGGGGGAACGCATGTTCACGCGTCAACGCAAGCGTGGATGTAGTCCTGGGGGGGAGCCGGTAGTCCGGGGGCAGTACCTGTAGTCCGGGGGGGTACCTGTAGTGCGGGGGGGTACTTGTAGTCCGGGGGAGGGGTACATGCAATTCGGGGAGAGGGTACCGGTAGTCCGGGGGGGACCTGTAGTCCGAGGACCCAGAAAGATTGAGGGACACAGCATACACGTCGCGCCAACTGTTGTAATCTGTTGTCCGAAGGGTTCTGCCCTCTGCCGCCGTCGCCTCTCTATCTTAGTGGGGCATGCAGAAATTATGTTGGGATGCTCGGGCGCCGTCTTGAAGCAACATCGAAGCCTCATGCGAGGGCGAGTGGTAGTCTTCATAGCAAAGTGAGAGAGGTAAACGTATTGCTGAACAGAGCGCGTTATTTGGGAGCTTCCCCTCACACTGCTGTGTATTGGAGGTCCTTTTGGCACGACTGGGGGCTGAGTGCGGGTACGTCGGGCGAAATCGCGCGGCTTGGACGGCCTTTGGTGTTCCTCCGAATATTTTACGAGGGACAGTCGCTCGGGGGCAGGAATATGGTGCAACTTGCCCGGGGTCGTGGCCTCGGGAGCGCGAGCACCGCGTAATTCATCAGAGATCGTGGTTTCGACGCGAATGTTGCGGAATTTGCCAGGGATCGTTGACTCAGGGACGCGAGCATCATGCAATTTACACGGCATTGTGGCCTCGGGGACGCGAATCTAGTGTAAAGTATAAGGGGTCGTGGCCTCGGGGACGCGAATACGGCGTAGGATCGTGCCCTGGGGACGCGAATACAGCGTGATTTACGAGAGATCGTGGCTTCGAGGACGCGTTTTTTTTCAATGTGCGAGTGATCGTAGCCTCGGGTTCAAGAACACGGCGTAAATTACAAGGGATTGTGGCCTCGGGGACTCGAATACGGCATAAGTTGCGAGTGATCGTTGCCTCGGGGCGCGCGCATGGAGTAACTTACGAAGGATTGCGGCCTCGGAGACGCGAACATTGCATACATTATTCAGGATCGTGGCGTCGGGGACGCGAATTTGTAAACATTACGGGTGATCGTGGCGTCAGGAGTGCTGATAATGCCGTAAATTACGAAAGATCGTGGTTTCGGAGATGCGATTTTCATATTATTTATGGGGGATCGTGGCGTCGTGGGCGTGAATATTGTGTAAGTTACAAGGGATCCTAGTGTCGGAGGCGCGAACCTAATGTATGTTTAAATCTCCCATGGCATCCCATGGAATTCTGGGACCCCTTGAGGGGCGTTGTCAAATGCCGGTTTCGGGCTCCCCCCCCTTGCGCGGACGGTTACAACTTACAATACGATGTAGAAAGAAGGATTTTAACATGGGAGACTTGAAATTGGAACTGGAGCAAGGAGCAGCAAGCCTAATGCCCCCAGCCTGATGGCCCCACAAGGGGGCTGGCGGATTGTTTGCTGCGGGGGGGGGGGGGGGCATTGGGCACAGTTTCTGCATCTCGGTTTACCAGCTGGACTCGGACTGTTCACTGAAGCTGTATCGGAATCATGCATTGCTCAGTTGCGTTCTACTTCTCGAGCCCGGCCCGACACATTGGATACGGCTGTGCCTCGGACTGATCGCGGGGCAGATTCATCTTAGAGGGTGCGAATTGGGGGAGAACGCGTGCATAGCCCTGGTCTTCTGGGGCGAAGCGCGACGATCAGACAGGCATGGCGGCCCGAGAAGCAGCCTCGGGCACGTTCCGGGAGGTCCTCTGCAACGTGCCGACGTGGTTGAAGGCGGACAGCGGCCTCATTCGCGACTGGATCGGCTTCCATCGTATCGGCCGGAGGGAGGGGCAGCAGTCATCGGGAATAGAAGGACCTCCACCCCTCAGAACACAGTGAAGACGTGGCCTCATTGAAGTCCCCGTCTCTGCATCAGGGGGGATCAATCTGAGCGGTTTGGTTTGATACATCTGCAGAAAAAGAGACCCCCTATCCCTAATGTGTTTGGCCCTCCTAGCTCAGGTCCCCTCCCAAAGGGTTAATTAGGGGTCTCTTCGTTGCGAACCGAGCCAGGCCGCAAGGCTTGCACTTCACCCTTGTGCTCTTGGAGGGCCAGACCTCGTTGGGGCAGCCATCCTCCTCCTGCTCCTGCCTGCGCTCGTGCTCCTGCTGCTGTTGCTGCTGCTGCCACCGCTGTCCCATCGCCTCTCCCCATCTTCCTGCTGCTAGCGGCTTAGGTCGGGCATGTCCTCCTACAGGCGGATTGTGCAAGACAAATGAAAGTATCCAGAAAATAATTCTAAGAAAACAAATCGCCAAGAGAGCACGAACATCGTCACCAGACTATTTTTGCACCGTTCTGGAACACTCCTCCTGTAGAGGGACATGCCCAACTTCACGCTAGCGCATTGCCCCCGTGCCAGCTGGCTCCGCGTTTACTCCTACCGCGTATCTCGCGCCAGGCTCGTGGTTCTGCGCACTGTCTCTCCAGGCGTGGCGCCGCGTGGGCAGGCAGCATTCTTGCCCCGCTTGCGCATCGTCCTGGACTGTCTGCTGCGTATGCTGCCCACCGCCTGCATCTTGGTCTCCACCGCAGCGATCGTGCACCTGGGGCCGACCCTGAGTTCGCGGCCGTGCCAGCACTCGGTGCCCTCGCTGGCGGCGTGTCCCACACCGCGTCCTCGCACACGGAGGTGGCTGTCGTTGACGCTCTCTGTTCGCACTCGCTCGTAGAGCTGGATGCGTTGAAGACCGGCGGCGACGTCGTCACCAGACAACTTCGACACAGGGTTCTCTGGAACGCGATGTTCCTTGTTGCGCTGCTTGTCACTCCATTCGTCCTTGCGGCGGCGCTGACCTCCCCTGCTAGTTACCCGCGACCTCGTCGAATGAATTCATGTTCTGTCCGATGCCATTTGGCCAGGTGGTGTGGAGCCATCCATGACTTGGAAGACATGTCGCATGCGGTTGGGCTCGGCTCCGAGCACCCAGCGTTGTGCGCTCCGGTGCGATACCCGAACCAAACTCACGTGAACAGCGGGTGGCACCCGTATCCCTCGTCTCCGATGTCTTTGTTATCGCAACCTCTCTCTTTCTCTCGCTCTGTCTCACCCCGTTTCTCTCTCTCTCTCTCTCTCTTTCTCTGTCTCTCTCTCCTACTCCCTTTCCCAGCCAATACATCCATTTGTAAAATACAATGCCGCAGTTTCCTCTTACACGCTGCCTTTTCCTCCGTGCGGAATGTCTCCAATTCCCGACCTTTCCAGTTTTTTTTCGATGCCCCCTTCCGCATGTTGAAATGATGAGCTTCCCGCTTTGTACCCCGTGTTCCAGACCTCCTGCCATCTATGCCCTTGCTCCCCACTCCACACCCCGTCTTCGTGTTTTTGACTACTCTCTAAGCGTCGCTTGTTGAGCACTCGGGCGCAAGTGACTGCTCTCGTGTTGAGCCTATCCACGCGTGTGGCGGAAGCGCCTCCACGGACCGCAGCTGCATTTCTGAGAGTAGATTGCTGTCGGGGCTGGCTGTTCGGTGATATTGGGATTTGGTGGGGGCAGCGTGCAACAGAGGCGCAAGACGTGGTATCCCAGTCGGCCTGTACCACGCTGGCAGGCATACATGCCCCCCTGCTTTCGATGTGTCCTTGGTCGCCCCATTGTACGGGAGCGTTCAAGAGAATGTGGAGCAACATCTGGCAAAGGATGCTGAAGTTACTCCACGGTGCACTGTACTTCCCCTTTTCGAACGCCAGTCTTCTCCGATGCACACTCCAGAACCTTTCGTTGAATTGCCTTTCCAAGTCTCCTCTGGTGGCAGCGAGTTCAGAGTGCTCGATTGTTGGTGGAGCAAGGCTGAGGGCACCAGCCTCGATTATTTTCCCGTGGCTTAGTTGCGTTGGCCTTTCGTCTTCTTCACTTGGCTCCGTCTGTTGTTTACGCTTTCCCGCGCACGAGCCTGGGACCCTGGAATAATTGATCGCGAGACCTGGCATGGGCTGTTGATATTCGTACTTGCCGTCCGCACCCGCACGTACAGGAGCTTGTGCTCGTCCAGCTATTTGATTCCCATCCTCAAAGATCCGATTGCCGACCGATCGGCGCCGTACCGAGTGCGAGATTCGTGAGCGTGAGATTTGCTCGGCACGTTCCTCCCCGCACCTGGGCCGGTTCGCGTTCGGCGGGGTGTATAGGACACGCCCACGCTCGCGTGAAATTGTCGACAAGCGCGGCCTGGATTTCGTCTTTCGTCAGGTTGCGTTCATGGGTGAGGAGAGAGGCCTTCTGGTGTGACGGCTGTGCTTGCCTTCGCCATGTCTCGAAAATTGTAGACTGCTGTGCTTCTGCGCCTTCGCTTGTTATGTTGTACAGGGCGTGGCGACGGCTACGGGCGAACCGGATCTTCCAGCACGGTTGTTTCCAAGATTGCTTTGCCTCTTGGCGCAAGCTTGGGCCTCTGTGCCCAGCTGGTGCTTAGCTTCAAACAGATTACCGCGGAGTGGAGCTCTGACTCTAGGGGAACGAACAATTACATAAACATTAAATTTGGAAATCCGCGCGGATACCTCGGATCCGCGCAGGGGCCCCCAGGCGGCGCCTCCGGCGCCGCCCTTGGCGCGCTCAGCGCGCCAGGGAGAAGGTCCCAGCGCCGATCCGAGAAACCCGCGCGGACCTCCGAGTTTGTGTGTTTGCATTATTGTCGGAAACTGGAACATATACATTACCAGTGGCGGGCTGTTTTTCAGTCCCAGAACTTTTTGAGGGTCGGGGACGACGTCGGAGTGGTGTGGTGTATACAATTTTCCCCGTTGTCCCGCGTAAACAACGAAAAATGTCTACACCAGGATCCGCTCTCTTCTGCGAATTTCAGTGCGGGGCCGTAGAAAACGTCGGCGTAGAGAGTCCGGCCCCTTATATTGTTCGTGCCCCTACAGGCTGCCTTCTGTTGCATCTTCGGGGGACCTCGCCTGTCCCTAAAATTGGTGTCTTTTGGGAGGCCCGACGCGGGCTCGATGCGGACTCGACGCGGATTTGGCATGGGTTCGACGCGGATTCGACACGAATTCGACACGGATCCGACGCGTCCGATATGCATTCGACACGCATTCGACGCGGACAGGGCCGCGACGGGACAGACAAAAGGTCCCCCGAGGATGCAACATAAACTGCCGCGGAGCGGAGCTCCGCCCCGTGGCAGCGCCGGCCTCGGCCGCGGAAGGGCACGGAGGCCCCCCGCCCCTATACAGTCGGGGCGCTGCAGAAGGAACCCTTTTTGTTGGGGAGGGGCTCCGCGTTCCTTAAGTGTTTCACAGCTTGCCTCAGGCTTTCCTTAGGTTTTCGAAAGGAAATCGAAGTTGAACTTATGGAACAAAGGGGCCTCGTTCCTTATTTAGGGTTCCTTAGGTCAAGGCCCCTATCTAGAGCGGGTGCGGGCAGGTCGGGCGGACGTGCGCGCCTACCGCGGCGGCTCGCTGACGCACCTGCCCGAGGCGCCCTCGGGTGCAGACGGCGGCCCGGGCGGGCCGTGGCCAGCAGGGAGCGCAGTATGTTGCCAGCCTCGAGCGTATCCCTGTCTCTAAGATTGGCACGCCAAAAGGCGATGACAATCTTAGGGGTTCGCCCTCAAAAACGAAGGGACCCCTAAGATTGGCATCGTGATGAGGAGGTGCCCAGCATAGGGATAGGGATATGTTCCGAGCTGGTAAGTACGGAACACAGGCCTCGGAACAAAAATAGCGAGCATTCATGCCACACTCAGCTGTGAACGCCGCCCCCCCCCCTCCACCCAATATTCAAAGTGGTGGTGGGTCTGATGAGTCGAGTTGCACCTCGACCGCAGTCTCCCCCCGCGCATGCCCACTTTGAGTTTGGGGGGCAGGGGGGTGTTCACTAATTGTTTCCCTCTACCGTAGTCAGATGGGGCGTTCCGAAAAGGGCCTTGCCTTCGAGGATCGGAGGAGTTGCCATCTCTTCCGTCGCGCAAGGCGGCGGAAGGCCGGCGGAAGTAAAACGAGGCCGCTTCCGCCGGCGGAAGCCGGCGGAAGTAAAAATGCGCCCCCAAGAAATGAAAATTGTTTTGGGTTCAGGGTTTCCGGAATCCGCCATATTCATTTTCTGGGACGAGAGACCCGATGCCAATTGGTGGGCCCATGCCTTTGGAGGCCCAGACCAGATTTGTAGAAACGTATCTACATCGCGTGCGGCCTTTTCAGGCTGAGCTCTGCGGAGCTCGTTGAACAGATGCATGTTGTTTTCGTAGTGTCAGTTGGTCTTGGGCTACTAGTTTGGGGGGTGTCTGCGGGGAAACCTTGGCAGCATTTGGGGGCGGCCCTGGGGCTTTTCGATGGCGTGTTGAAGGTCTGGGGCTGACTAGGTGGCCTCGGTCATTGGGGGGCGTAATGGGGCATCTCGGGATCCTTGCCAGTGCCTTCGGGCCAGTTCTCGGGCCATTTTTGACTCTCTTCCTGACAATCCTGAGGCCACGTCAAGGCAAACGAGAAAGCATCACATTCATTTCAGACAAATTCTAGTCTACTGGTTTGGGCTTCTCAGAGGGCCGTGTTGTAGCTCTGTTTGCGCCATTTGGGGTACACATGTTGAGATCCTCAGGAACTCTCTCCCCCTCCCCCAACGACATGCTTCAGATGCGCTTTCCATCATTCGTGTTGTCCTGCCCTCTCTCTGGGTCGCTCGCTCTCGCTCTTTTTTTTTTTTCTCTCTCTCTCTCTCTCTCTATCCCTCTCTCTCTCTCTCTCTCCTTTTTGTTTGTCTCTCCCTCTCTCTTTCATTCTCTCTATCTCGCTCTCTTTCTCTCTGTCTCGCTCTCTCAATCTCTCTCTCTCTCTTGTTCTCTCTCTCTCTCTCTCTCTTTCTCTCTCTCTCTCTCTCTCTCTCTCTCTCTTGCTCTCTACAGTCAAGACCAAGATTTGCGCCCCCCCCTCTTGGACGCCCCCTTCTTGGCCGCCCCCGATATATGGTAGCTTCCACAAGTGAATGCTGAACGTCTGCGACAGGTTGGACGTACTCGCGTTCTGGCCCGAAGTCTCGGGCCCCCGCGCGCCAACCTCTCGCTCGTAGTCTTTGGCGCGCAGGTGCCAGACACTTCGGGCACGGAGTGGGCACTGGCATCGCCCTCTGCACGGTTCGCAGCTCATCGGTGTCCTGCCCGGCCTGCCGCTGCGAGCCCACCATCACGTGTCCCACCTCCACTGCGATTGCGCGGGGCTGGGGGGCGACGCTCAGCACGGCCTTTCAGGCGTGGTACTGCTGCTTGGGGGCCTGTGCTTCCTGATTTGTGGCGCGGCCGCCGGCGCGGCGAGCACCCTGGTGGTTCTTTGGTGGCGGGGCGCTGGTTTGTCGGCACAGGCGTGAGGAGACGCGAGCGACGAGCTAGGCGAGGAGGCTCGCGCGCATGTGAGGGCTCTGCAGCAGCGGGGCCCCGCTGTCCAATGATGTCGGCGCTGGCGCCGCCGCTGCACGCGTCCGTTCCCGCCGCCAGCGTGAAGGAAGGGGACGTCTTCGGGGTGGTCTACAGCGTCGGCGGCCGCGACCTCGTGCACGAGCGCGTGGTCGCGGTGGTTAACCCTGCCACGCCAGGGGTCGTCTCGGTCGTAACGGTCGACAGCGGCGAGTACGAGGAGGAACCCATCGGCAATTACGGTTGACACCTGGTATTGGGACTTGCTCCCCGCAGGCAGTGCCTCCGATTGGCTGCCTGCCGCTCGCTAGTACCGCTTCCGGGCGACTGGCCGCCTTGGGCGGCCCTGCTGGTGGCGCGCCTGCAGCGGCCGCCGCCCCCGCCGCGGTGCCCTGGGCGCGGCGCCGGCAGCTGACAGAGCGGCCGCCGTGCCAACAGCCGGGGCGTGGCCCCGTCGGCCCCTGGTAGCGACGCCCGCATCCTCGCGGTCGTGCGGGGCACCCGTGGCATGAGGCATGCCGGCTTCCGCTCGACCATCGCCCTCTTGGTCGAGCTCCCGTGGGCGACTGGCCCGTTCGCGGGCCTCGCTCGCTGCTTTGGGCGCTGGGGCACTTCCCATGAGTTGCTTCCCATGAGTCACATGGCGGATCGAGCCGCTTCGCCGACGGCTCATCACCAGAGGTGGCTTGCGGAGACTGGCCTAGCCGTCGAATCGCCCAGCGTTGAGATCCACCACATGTCCTGCATGATGCTGGGGACTGCGACCACCTGCGACCAGGTGCGCGCTGCGAACCTGGTTCACGTTGGTGGCTCGAGCCATCCAAGTGCAGGAGGAGCGCCACAGGCGCCCGCTCCCGCCAAGCGAGCTCCATCTAGACGGGCGCGGTGGACCGGGCCGCGATGCCGGGGCCGTTGGAGCTCGACGGCTCGGCGCGCGTCTGCCCGCCCACGTGGGGCGACCTGGCGCTGGAGCTGCAGTGGAGATGGCGGCAGCCAAAGAGGGGCGTAAGACGCTCGAGGAACGCGCTCTCGCCAGCGGCAGCGCTCGCGCGCACGGCGGGGGCGGCGGGGGCGGCGGGGAGGAGGGGGCGCGGGGGCCGCGGCGGCCGGGGCGGAGACGCTGGAACCGTAGGCGGTGATAGTTGACGGCCCACTGGGCGGTCGGCCTGGCCAGCCACCGCGCGCGCCCCCATCGGGCCCGCGCGGGCGCCAACCGCGCTGCCCCTGTGCCGGGCGGCGACCGCCGCTCTCCGCCGAGCGACGCACGCCGCTGGGACGTCTTCCCGCTGCCGCTGCCGGCCCCTGCTGATGCGGCGCCCGGCGCGTCTTCTACTCGGCGGCGGCGCGCGCAGGCCGCGCCCTCGAGCGCGCGCCGGTCGCCAGAGCTGCCGTGCATGCTCTGAATCACCGCCACGGCGACCAGTCCTCACCCTCGCCGTCGGCCCCGTCGGCAGGGCAGCGCGTCGCCACCTGTCATCTGGGATTCCATCGCAACTCCCGGCCTCGAGCCCGACGGGCATCGCGACGGCGTCGCCGACCCAGCGGGGCCCTCCGAGAACTCCATGCCGGGTCCACGCTGGCGGTGGGCCCGCCGCCCCCTGCGCGCCTGACCGCGTCGATGCGTCGCAGCCGCCAGCGCAGCTGATTGGGCTGCCGGGCGAGCGGGGCGCTGGCTCGCTGCAGGAGTGGAGGCGCCGCGTGCTTCGAGATCCCGAGGAGGCCCACCAGCTGCGCGCGGAGGCTTGGGCGCGCGGCCCGCGCGCGGACCCAGTGCTGCACCCCTCGCCGACGAACAGCGCCTTCTTCCTCGGCGCGATGATTGAGCTCCGCACGCTGCCTGCCCTTGCGAAAGGGCGCCGGGGCGACGCGGGAATCTTCTTCTCGCCCGAGAAGAACGGGCGCCTGCGAGTGATCTCCCACGCCCGGCTGGCAAACTGCGCCTTCACCGACGCCGGCCGCCGCCCGCGCCAGCCTAGTGGGGCCGCGAGACGGGCGGCGCTCGCATCCCCGTCGCCTCGGCCGACCTGGGCGTCGCCTTCTACCGTGCGAGGGCACCCGATGGGGCTTCGCGCGCTTCTCTTCTTTCGCGATCCGTTGCCTCTGCGCGCGGCTGACCTGGCGGCCCCGCGGCGCGGGCGGATCGCGCGCGCCGACCCCTCGCCGTTCGGACTGGGCGTCGCGGCCCGCCGCGCCCCCATGGACCTCGCGGGCTCCGCGGAAAGAGTCGTCGACGCATGCGGGCGCAAGATCGAAGGGGCGGGCGCTGGCGAGGAGTCGGGCGGTCGGGTTCGGCGCCGAGAGCGCCGAGTCGGAGAAGGATGGGCTGGCCCATCGCTGATGCCGTCGAACAAGAGGATCGACGCGCGGGTCGTCGACGGCCGCCCGCTCGAGTCTTTCCCGGGGGCCCGGGCGGTCGTGGACTTCGACGAGGCCCCATCGCATCTCATTCGCTTTTCGTCTCGGGAGCCGGTCGCTGCTGCGCACTTCGGCGGACGGGTCGACATCTTGGCTCTCGAGGGAGGACGCCCACGTGCTAGGCTGTCGCCACTTGCCGCGGTGCGTTTCGTCGTTCGGGCCCAGGCCCCGCACTCTGGCTCCGGCTGCGAGGAAAGGCTGAGCTCGGAGCAGTCACCTCGCTGGCATGCTGCGCAAGATCTGAGCACTGTCTGCCGCCAATGACTGACTCGACTTTGTTTGTCAGGTGGGGCCCCTCGGAGGCGAAGCCCCACGGGCGGCCGCAGCCGCGGCGCTGCTGGGCATTTTCTGGCAGCCCGGCTGCACATCTGGCACCGGGCGGCGGGCTGCTGGCCCACGCGGCTGCTCGCGCCGTCGGCGGCGCTGGCCCAGACCGCGACTGCGGGGCGAAGGCGGGCCGCGCCGACGGCTTCGGCCCTCCCGGCCGAGCGGGCGCGGCGCGCCCGGGAGCGGGCGGAGGGGGCGCCCGACGTCTCGGGTCGCCCTTTAAATGCTGAAGCGGCGGGCGATTCGCGGCCCCCCCGCTCGTCGGCGCGGGAGGGCTTCGAGCAGCATCGTCGAGTAATTATTGCGTCGAGCGCCGCCTGGACAGGACAGACTAAGTGACCGTGGACCAGACGCCGGCGCTGTTCCTGGGCGGCGACCCCCTGCCCGGCGGCGGCGGCAACACGGGGGGCGCGCCCCTGGCAGCAGGCGCCCAGCCCCTGCCGCTGAGCGGGCGGCCGCGCTGCTGCCGCGGGCGCGTCGCGCTGCTGCTGTCTGGACACGCCTGCTGCCGGCCCGCGCGCGGCCGCCGCTGCCGCGCCGCGCGGCGTTTGCCGAGGCCGGCATGCGGCCTGCTGCCGTGCGACGACGCCCCCCGGCTCGCCACTTTCATTATCGCAGTGTTCGCCTGCTGCCCGAGGCGGGCGCCACCTGGCGGCGCTGTCTGCGGCGGAGGGGGCAGGTCACCAGCGCGTCGGGCCGCTGCTGCGCGAGAGCGGGCAGGGGCCCAGGAAGGCAGGCGCCGGCGACGTGAGCAACCTCTGAGATTGAAAGCCGTGGCCCAACCCGCCGCTGGTGGCCCCGAAGTTGAGCGCGGCGCCATCGCGGCCGCTGGTTCTGCTTGCTCTTCGCAGGCGGGTCTGCCGGTGGCCGTCACCCTGCCGCGCCTGGGCCCCGTCAGAGGCGATGGTGTTCGGCGCCTCCGCCAGCGCGACCTGCGGGCGCAGGGCTCGCCGTGCACGGCGGCCCGCCAGCGGGCCCAGTGCGCGACGCGCGACCTGCAACGGCAGCACCGCCGCGCCACCGCCCCGCGGCGGCCGCGCAGCGCCCCGCTGGCGTTTCAGCGCCGGCCCATGCTGGAGCTGTTCTGCGAGGCCCGCGCGGTCGCCGCTGCCGCGGCGAACGCGGACAACGCCGCGTTCGGGCTAGACTGGCGACTCAGCCTGCAGGAGGACCGCGTGGCGCCTGCCTTCGTCGGCGCCGTCGCCTGCAGGATCGAGTCTCGCGCCGTCGGCGCGGTCTGGCTAGGCACCCCCTGCACGAGCTGGGCCCGTGCCAGGCGATATCTCCTGAAGTCTGACCGCGTCATTTTCGGCCCGCCCGCCTTGGCGGCGAATGAGCAAGCCCGCGCGGGCGCGGGCAACGTCGGATTTCGATTTGCAATCAAAATGAGTCGCTCTTGTCTTGCAGCTCGCGCACCCGTCTTCCTGGAGGGCCCGCAAACATGCTGGAGCCGCGCATGTCGCGAGAGCGCATTGCATCAGTGTCGGCGCAACGCTTCGTATAAGAAGGCGATCACCATCGCGCCATGG